GATGAGAGTATTTCAAAATGTGTATGAAAACAGCACACTGTACCCCATGATTGCATTAATGTACACAGTTATGCTATAAGAAATAAAAAAAAAGAAAGTAAACAGAAAACATACAAGTGATCCCAGCAGAATATGAAAGGAATGAAAGATGGTGGATCCGACATTGTCCAAAGTTGTCTCAATCTTCCCAGGTCACAATTACATTCCTTGTCTTAGTACCTACCAATGAACTGAGAATACAGCTGCTGGTGTTCAGGACAACATTGAAATTTCCATCGCACATATTTTGGTAAGAACATGAAATCCACTTTTATTGAATCTGTACATTTCCCAGAAAAATTTAATAGACTTTGAGGCTAGATTCAGGCAAATATGTGGCAACAATTTACTTTCCCCAAATATGCAACAATGAAGAATGAAAAACAGGCTTTGGGATGAGGTGGATTGAATTATCATCCGCATCTCTGAGGAAGGTAATATTCAGAATAAAATTCAGTTGTCTTGATTCTCAGCCCCACAGTCAGACCTGAGTCACTGTCAGCAGATAGGGCAGTCTGAGCTCCCTGCACACAGGGCAGGACCTGATATAGGGAGTGATGTTTGGGGTCTCTGCAAGCTCTGAGGTGGGCAGGGCCAGCTCCTACCTCAGACTCAGTAGTCAGGAAGTCTCTGCTCTTTCTCTGTGTCAGGGTAGTGGTTGTGTCTGGAGATGATGAAACTTACTCTACTCAAGACCTCTGCACATGGACAGAAACCAATGTGTATGAGAACCAATTCATCTCACAGTACATTTAATAATAGCTCATGTCAGTGGAAACACTGACCAGGAGAAAGTTAAGGAAAATGCACCTGAGGTGAATGTGGAAATTACAATTGTTTGCAGAGTACCTGTTTTCTTTTACGTATATATATGTTGCCTGAGAAGCTCACGTAAAACTATGCTTTGTTTTATTAAAGTCCATGAACAGCATGTGGCCATGAGAATTCACCTTCCATCCCTCCAACTACAGGGAGTATCATGGAAGAGACACCTGGCTGTCACCCTCTGTCATCCATCACCGGGTTTGTGCTAAAGACACACATCCTGAGGGCTGGTTCCAGGTGATGATCGAGCGTGGTAGTGATTATAATAACTGTCCCTCCTGGCAGATGTTGTGGGTTTGTCAAGGGCAACTGTGGATCAGGGAGGCACCAATAGCTGTCTGGCACTTTGCTTGCGTTATGGTGTAGTTATGAATTTCCAATCTCTTCTCTCCTTTCTCCTTCACTTGATGTCAGACGTGCACCCTGGGCTGACACTTCCTGAGCCTCACCTGGCTCCTGTGAATTTTTCTGCCTCCTCAACTTACAAATTTTGTTAGGGCATATGAGAATGATTTCTTCTATTATAAGAAACTGTTCAAGTTTGGGGATTTTGCTGGTAGCAATAAAGTTGTAACTCTGTGACTCTTCTGGGATGCTCTCAGGGGAAACACTAAGAAACAGACAGAGCCTCAGCTGGAGAGAAAACCAGGGCTGAGCATCCCCTGCACCTGCCCTGGGTGACTCAGAGCCTGAGTCCCAGGCGCCCCCTGGTGGCCCCGCCTGGCAGGAGGTTCGTGTCTGGGCTCACACTGGTCGCCTCGCTGTGTCCCTAGCTCAGTAATACAAGGCTGTGTCCTTGGGTTTCAGATTAGTCATTTCAAGGGAGACTGTGTTTGTAGGGTTGTGTCTGGCGATTGTGAATCTCCCTTGTACTGATGGAGAGTACCACTGACTACTTCCACATGGTCGACTCACTTCTGCCACCCACTCCAGCCCCTTCCCTGGAGCCTGGAAGACCCAGTGCATGTTGTAATCAGTGAAGGTGAATTCAGAGGCTGCACAGGAGAGTCTCAGGTACCTCCCAGGCTGGACGAAACCTCCCCCAGACTCCACCAGCTTCACCTCACACTGGACACCTGCAAACACAGACACACCTGGTCAGAAACCTCCACACACACTCTCTGTTCTCTCTCTCACATCCACTCACACACTCCGACCCTCCAGTTCTCTATGAATCACCTTGTAACAGAGCAATGAGGAGAAGCCTGCTCAGCCCAGACTCCATAGTGGGTGGTCTTTGTTCAATCCTGAGCAGCGAGTGGGCAGACCTGGGACTCCTAGGGTTGGGGCTCCTCTCCCAGAGTTGCAGGGTCAGGGCTGGGCTGGTTTTCACGAGCAGAGGGAGGATCTATTTGCATGTGTTCCTGTACATAGGAGGTCTAGGGTAGGACTTTGAAGGAGGGCAGGTTCCAGAGCATGTGTGATTGTGCTGGGGCCGGAATATTACAAGGGTATACTTGATAAATCACAAATTCTTATTGTGAGATTTCATACGTACTTACAATATATCATCTTAGTTCATGGTTACACATGTGCATGGGTCATGCATTGTACATGTCACTGTTTCTTCAGTGGTAGAAATGTGAGGCTCACACCTGAGCACAGATTGTCTCTATGATGTGTCCATCATTTCAACTCTGGTAAGAGTGACTTTTGGTATCTGAGCATGAACTCCTCAGCACTAGACTCTCCTGTCCCATGGAGCACTCCAGCACTGAGTTGGGCCTGTCTAGTAGTTTCAATGTTTCTGTCATGGGAACATTCCTAGTTTTCCCACTTGAAGAATTTACCATGAATATTGAGAGGTCTGAGGTTGATGCAGTTGAATTTCTGGGTTCTGGGTGATTTTCCTTCTAACACTTGTTTCCTCTCAGTAGTCCATTATTCTCTGTAATTAATTTAATGAAGTATAATTGACATGGACTCATCTACATACATTTAAAGTGTACACATTAGAAATAGTAACACATCCACAATCATTATAAAGTTAGTGAATAAATCAGTTTCCTTAACCTCATCTTCTGTTCTTCCTTCTTTCCCTTTTCCTTCCTGTATTATTCTCCTAGGCAGAGATTGATCCTTCTGATACTACTTTAGGTTAGTTTTTATTTCCTAGAGATTATATAAGTGGAGCAATGCAATTTTTACTCCTCTTTCTTTGGCTTATATACTGAGTATGAATAATCCATATACAGACATGTTGCTGAGTGTATGAAACAGTCATGGATTCTGATGAGGGTAGTATTCCAATGAACAAGTGTCACGTAATAATTGTCTCTTAAGCTTTTGATTAATATATACTAGTTAAATTTTTGGTGTCTTACAAGTAAATCTGTGCCTCAGTTTGAAGGTGTATCTTGGTAAGAAATATAGTTTTTTGTGTTTATTCCGAGAACAGTAACATTAACAACCAAAGAGAAACTGCAGAAGTAGTAATTTGGGAAACGTTTGTCAATACCTGAGATAATTGAAGTTATAGGACTAACAACAAATCTTACATGTGGAGAGAGACAAATTCTTGCAGGAATAACCAAGGCTAGGAAGTTTTCTGATCTGGGGCAGAGGCTGTATCATGAAGGGTAGGCTGTGAGAGGCTGAAGCTACGAGTGTGTATCTCACTGCTGGGAAGGTTTTATGGTGGGAAATTCTCCAGGATATCAGGCTCAAGGGGGTTCTATCTTCTCATCATTCCTCTAGGAAAACAGCAGTCACAAAAATCTCCCTTCCCTGCAAATCCACTGTGGGAGAGAGAAACTGAGAGCACACACTTCTGAAATGCTTCCAGACTCACCTCTCCTTTACCATTATAAAATTAAAGAATGTATTCTCAATAAAATTCTCAATACTGGCATCCTAGGGGCACAGTGGACCCCATAGGAACTGGGAAGGAAAGAGGGGCCCACACCACATCTATGTTCAGAACCACCCCTCACATTCCCAGTGGAATAAAAGCCTTGATCTGAAGGGAAGAGCATCAAATCTCGAATCTCAGGACTCTGACGGAGAAACATTAGTTCTGTGATAGAAAACTATAAATAATAACAAGAGATGCTCTGCCCAGGAGGAGGGACAGGAAAACTGGGGCCATCAGTTCACCTGGAGCAGAGACAGCAGCCCCTGGAAGGTAGCACCCAGACCCAGGGTCCCGATGCCTGCCTAGAATCACAGCTCAGGAGAAGGTCAGAGACTCTGACTTTAGTCCCACACCTTCCACACACTGACAATTGTCAAGTAAGACTCACACTGGAGTGTGTGTGGAAGAGCTGGAACAGACAGAGCCTCTTCAGGAGAGCACAGAGGAGAACATGAAGCCAAGCAGGGAACAGAGACAAGGTGTCACTGGGGAATCCGAAGTCTCTGATGGACTCAGAAGGAACAGATTCAACCCTGGTTTCCACAGCAAATATAGACTTCAGAGGCAACTTTGACAAGGTCCAGAAAAACTGTCAACTAAGTGCCTAGCAAAGATGTGATATGAGAAATTACAGGCAGAAATGGGTCCAATAAACTAACAAGGCAACATCAACTGTCCAACACAACCTGTCTGGTTATCGACATGAATATAAGATACATCAGAGAGAAAGACCAGAGCCAAAGTAGACAAATGATCTGAATATGATTGTAAATGACAGAGCACTTAGAACTATCTAATTAATGAGCATATTTGGTAAAATCTCCACATGACAACGTGGGAAGACCACAGGAACCAAACAGTGACTCTGCTGACAAATGGAAACATTAATATCAGATGGAGTTTCATGACAGTCAGAAGCACTGTGCTCTGCATAGGAAGAGCCTTGTGCACACTCAGCAGAGGGGTTGGGTCAGCCTGCAAGTGAGGTCAGGGCTTAAAAAAGTGTCATTTTCTTCAAAAAGAAGTCAGGCAAACCAAATTTCAAAGACAAAAAGGAGTAAATAAAACAGGAATGATTATAAAACATTGTAACATAGATGTGTTTCAAAGTCAACTGAGAAGTTCAGTTGTTTGTGTTCAGAACAACACACTGAAATTTCTAAACATAATTTTGGTAAAAGAAGTTCAATTGCTTGATTGGCCTCAGCCAGGACAGGGCCACTCTCATCCTATGTTTGCTGCTGTGTTCAGTTGTACCCATGTCTCCTCTTACGCATTAGACTTAGAGTAGCCAGTTTCTCAGACCACCTGTGCCGTCCACTGACAATTCTCTACTTTGAGGCTCTGTGGTTCTCTCTTACTCAGGCCCTGGTGGAAAGTAATGATAAGGACCCAGCAGTCTATAGGTGCCCTTTCTACTGGCCAAATTGTCTCCCTAATTTGCCCACCTATTCTGTAGACCCAACTTCAGTCTTTTCAGAATCTTCCCCTTTATTTTCACTCAATAATAAATTATTTAACTCCTCAAATGAGAACTCTGGGGCCCTATTAGTCAATTTAAGCCTGCTGAGAATGTCACATCAAGGGAAGAATTTCTGAAGAAGACTCCAATAGAAATCATTGCCAGAAAATATAAATAAAAGGGATTTCATTAAGTCAAAAAGCTTCTACATAGCTTAGGAAATAATCAACTGAGGAAACAGTTAATTGACAGAGTGGGAGAAAATATTCACAATCAATATTCTAACAAAAATTTGGGAAAATAACCTGAATCTACAAACAACTCAAGGAAATTAGCAAGAAAAAACACACTGAATAGTGGGGGAAAGATATAAATGGAAGTTTTCCAAAAGAACATACACAAATGGCCAATAAAAATGTGAAAAAACACTGAACACTACTGATAATTGCAGAAATGCAAAATAAAACTGCAATGGGTTGTCACCTTACCCCAGTTAGAATTACTCTAATTATAAGATGAAAACAATATAGGTGGTGTGGATGCAGAGAGAAAGGAATGCTTACACAGGGTTGGAGGGACTGCACATTAGTACAACCTCTGTGGAATGCAGTGCGGAGGCTCCTCAGGGAAGTAGAAGCAGACCTATCAGGAATCAAGCAATGTTCCTGCTGGGCTGTACCCAAAGGAAAATAAATCATTTTATCACGAAGACTTGGATGTATCTTGCAGTCCAATTAACAATTGCAAAGATGTGGAATCCACCCAAGTGCTCATCAGCCCACGAGGGGATTAACAAAACATGGTCTGTGTGTACTAAGGAACACTCTCAGCCATGAAGAGGGATGAACTGATGCCTCTTACATTGGGTGGAACCACAGATGCTTATCCTATGTGAGGTATCTAAAGAATGAAAGACAGACACCACATGCACTCGCTATTAAACTGGAACTTACCAGTGAGCACAGGAGTGCACGGAGGGAAGTGAGGTCAGTGGAAATCAAGTGGAGGGATGGGGAGGAGGAGAGGGTTTAAACCTACCAACTGGTACAATGAGCACTATTCTTGGGATCAGCACTCTTACAACTCTGACTGAAGCATAAAAAAATTGGTGCATGAGACCAAGAAAATCTGTACACCTGAAAGACTTTAAAATAAAATAAAATAAGTCTTAATAAAAAATGTTTTCTTGGGGTGGTGCCCGTGGCTCAGTGAGCAGGGCACCAGCCCCATGTTCCAATCGTGGGGGGTTCAAACCTGGCCCCAGCAAAAATGCAACAAAAAAATAGCCAGGC